TTGTGTGATAGATCACTGTCCAGAAAGGCTGCACATTTTTCTGTGTTCACAGCTAATCCAGAAATCCACCTGTGCAATACACATTACAGAAAGCAAGCACACAGACAACTATATTATATATATTGCTAACATTGTGCATGTAATGTTTTCTTTCTTACATTTATTCTGTATTGATGCAACCTGAAATTTTCCTAATCAGATATTTAGAGAGATGAGACAAATAAGGTAAATCATAACATCACATGTTTCCCCCTTACAGCCCAGTGCTAGAAGCCTGAAGGGAAGTCATGCAGTGATCTATCTGTGGCTTGTTAGAATGGCAATTTTGCACACACTCAAGTTTGGGTCTCTGTGGATCTAGTCCGGGGAATTGCATTCCCAGCCAGCCCGAAGGTAAGGCTTCCGCTTGAGTGGGAAACAACATATGTATGTGTTTTGAGCATCAAATCAATGAGAGAAAACCTGCTACTGCCCTTTAAACAGAAGAGTCTTCCAGGGAGTAGAGGAATCTGCGACTCACTGATGGTTAATATATTTAGGTGTCTAGGTCCTCCCCAGCATCACCCTAAAAGAAGGGGAGACAGAACACCCAGGCTTCACGGGGTCACAGGGGGAGAAGGACACACCCTGGGAGACATGAGGAGGCACATGGAGATGAGGCACTGGATAGAAACCAGGGCCAGGGAGCCAATTCTTATACCGTGCAGACCATTTTCATCCTCTCTCCTTTCTTTTTCCTCTAAGGGTTCAGCCCTTCTGAATTATGTGGAGATTTTAGATGCACTTCTCCACGAGTTCACATCACCATGTAAACATTAATATTACTATCCACATACACTGCACAATAATAGTTGGCCTCATCCTCAGGCTGGGCCCTGGTGATGGTGACAGGGGCTTTGTTCCTAGACAGAAATGATCCAGTGAAGTGATCGGGGACCCCAGAGGACCAGCTGTTTGTGTTGTAGATGAGCCTGTGGGGAAACTTGCCTGGAGTCTGCTGGTACCAAGTGGGGTTGTTAAACCTAGAGAGATGCCCAGAACTAAGGCCACAGGTGAGTGTGACTGTCCTTCCTAGAGACAAGAACAATGAAGGCTCTTTGGTCACCACAGTCTGAGATGCACACCAAAACCAATGACAGAAAGACAGTTATTGTTGAGGGAGAGAAGGGTCATTCTGAAATGGTGCTTATATTTGCTCCCAACTCCTACAGTGCAGAGTCCCTTCCTCTGACCTGAGCTGTAAGCAAGAAGCCCAAGCAGGGGCACAGTCCAGGCCATGGTGGGGACACTCACAGGACAGAGCCTCCTGCTCCTGGGCTGGTGGGTGGTGTCCTTGGGGCCTGTTCATGCCTCCTGGGTTCATTGGGAAGAGAAAGTGCTTCATGCAAATCAGGTTCCCCTCTCCTGTCCTGCCCCAGTGTCAGCCTGATGTCCCCGGGGGATCATCTAAAAAGAGGGAGAATCTGGCACCTCACACAGACCAATGACCACACAGTGACTGAGATGCCCTGTGTGCTGGGCAGCTGAGGTCTTCCTTCCAATCAGTTTCCTCATGCCTCTCGTGACCTTATTCCTGAGAGTCTTACCTGCATTGGCTGAGGCTGAATGATGAGTTGCATGTGTTTACCTTTCGGCCCCAGGGATCTAGTTCATTTCAAATCTAACCCCCATCCTGAGAACATCTTCTTCCTTCCTCAGTGAGGGCTGTTTCTCTCTTCCTTGGAAAGCCTTAGCAGTTACTTTTTTTTTCCTGAGTGAGTCCCCAGTACCATCAGAGCGCCTGTGTCTGGGTTATAAAAGGAGTTTCCACCTCTGATGACATCTTGTAACCTTTCTCCTTTAGCACTGGGGGACTAGCCCTGAACTGCACACTGACAGAGCTGTACCACCAGGCTGGGGAGTGGAGACCACCTGTGTCCTGGGAAGCCATGACTCTAGGTGGTCTCTTCAGTGTAACTGCGGGTTTAGAGGAGCAAAGGTCACAGTGTCACCATGAAATTATGAGACACCTGGCAACATCACATGTAACAAAATAAGAAGATACTTGTCTCGTGACCAGAAATATAAAAAACCCAACACTCTATTGGAACAAGTTGGGGTTGATATCATAGAACATTTTAAGACTTGCTTTCTCCACCTGCTGCTGTGGAGCAGAAGGAATGGCCAGAGTGGACAAGGGTTTGTGATGCAAGAAAAATGATCAGGAAGAGAAAGTGTCTCAGGTGACAGGTCCTGGCTGGTGTGGCTCAGTTGGTTGGAACATTGACCTCTGCTGGGTAGGTTGCTGGTACCGCTCCCCTTCCAGGTGCCGATGGGAGGCAACCAATCAATGTGTGACTTTCCAATTGATGTTTCTTCCTCTTTCTCAAAGCCCTGAACAATGTCCTTGGGTGAAAATAAAAACATATTAAAATACCTCAAGAAATTGGAAATGAGGAATCACACAACTGGTGTGTAGCATACTTGAAATAAAAATATAATTTGCTATTCAGTTTGAAATTGTTGTGAAGTTTTGAGTTTAATGAAATGTGTATGACTTTTTTCTTTAGCTTTGTATTTTAGGAGAGTCCCAACTCAGTTAACATTAAGTATTCATACTAAAATATTTCATGATTATACAACTATAGCTCTGATAGTGTAGATTATCCCTAAAAGTATAGATATAGGAGTATTAATACAAAATAAAATAAAAATGACAAGGCTGAAAACACAAACAATGTCAGTTTCCCTAAGTCCCTAGAATATATAACAAATAAAAAATAAAATAAGAAGAAGAAAAAAACTGATATGATAACAGAAAAAATGGGCTAATGAAATTATAACACATTTCATCATGAGTCAATTGGAAGCCATATCAAGAAAAACGATCCCTGAAATGTGTTGCCCATACAGATGTTTTCAGGCATTTTCCGACACTATGGGTCAGTTAGTGTGTCCATGAGACAAACGATGTGGGAATTAAGAGCCTATCAATTCCTATGGAGTGTGGAGGGGTGATTAGACTGGACGGGGGACACACCAGGGGTGCCCCAGAAGTCCCTCACATGCAAGAAGGAGACTGAGCAGGTCTCCCTGTAGGCCCTGGGGGCGCTTTTCTCTCTGAAAGAACATGCTGGCCTCTTCACAGCTGTTCTCCCCAGGATCTAGATCCAACATCACCCAGACAGTGCACACATACCCTCGTCTCTGTCCGAATGTTACCAGGGAGAAAAAGTGGATTCTATTGATATAACACAGATTGTTTTTACTCATGTGCTGAATCATTTGTGCAATGATCACTGGTGATTATAAATGACATTTACTCTTAGGCTGGTGTTCTTTGAATAGTAAGATGAGAAAATATGTTGAGGTGACCTGCCCTCTATATCATTGTATGATTTTTATTAAACAAAGTCCTAGACACTGGGGGTAGCAAACCCAGAAGCATCTGCCCAAGGGCCCTGGGAGGACAGTTAGAAGGAAGAGAAAGTTGAATGAGAACCACCTGTGCTCAGATACTAGTAGCAAAAGTCCCCTTCCCCTAATAATACTCCCCTGTCCCCTTAAGTAAAGGCTTCCTTCATTGACTGAAGAGGTAAAGAGAGAAGTCCAGGCCATGGTAGAGCTGCCCAAGACCTTTAGATTGAGACAGTCCCTGCCCGGGTGTCTCTGAGTAGTTGGGTGGCCTCAGTGATTCTGTTTGCGTTGGATCCCAGTAAGGAAGGAGACATTTCACTGAGCACCGAGGACAGACGAAGGAGAGGCCTTGAGCTCCCTGGTTTCACAGTACTCATGTCAGCAAAAGCCAAAACCCGGCTGGGATAGGACAGTCAGGGGTACAGCCCTGATGAGACAGGATGCAGAGTGGACAGCAGGCTTTACCTCACTTCTCTGGAACTGCAGCCTTTGGGTGGCAGGGCATTGTCCTGAGCTACGTGACAGAGCATCAGCCTCCTCAACAGGCTGGAGCCCAGAGCTGGGCCAGGAGGCCATGTGCACACACCAGAAGGCAGAGATGAGGGCCGAACCCCAGAGGATTGTGAGCTAGAAGCTCTGTCCTAGCCCACAAGGTAGAGACTCTGTCTGGGACCCCTAGACACCATTTCTGTGGTGACCCCCAATGTATCTGTTGCTCCTTGTCAGGAAAATAAGCCTCAGATGTCAGCTCATCAAGATCTTCACAGTGTAAGTGAAATAGGCAAATATCAGAAAGTTCTTGCTCCTGATATCCCATATCCCACACAGCACCCTGGTCAAGGAAAGCTCAGGCGGCTGTGAGAGGAGACGAGAGCCCAGTCAGTGCCAGTGGGAAGCTGCTCAGGGATCCCACTCACAGGAGTCCCTGCGCTCCTGAGTGGTGTCAGCTGTAGGGAACATTCATCCATGGACCCATGTCACCCAGTTTTCCTTGATCAGGCTCAGTATTTTTCCAGCAATTGTGGGTCATCCCGCCACTGACTCATGTCCCCCAAAGAAGGGTTTGCCCCAGGCCTGGAATATTCCTTTCCCAAACCCTCCTCTGCCTGACTTCACAACAAAGGCTCAGGACCCAACCAGGGGGCCAGGCCAGCTGTGTCCTGCATCCTCACACAGCATCTCACAGCTTAGTACCTTGTCCCTGGGACACTGTGTGTTGTGGGGGCTCTGAGCAGATGGCCCTGAAAGGGACAGGCAGGTCGCTGCTCAGAGCCCTGGCCCTGCAGAGTCTGTTCTGTGAAGACTGTCACCTGTCGGGATATCCCGAGATCATAACAAAGACTAAATGAAGAAACGGCTAAATTGTCTCATTTCAAGAGGCCGAGGGCAAGTCCCCAAGCCCCGGTTCCCACAGTGAACACCAGGCAGCTCTGCAGTGTCACTGTGACCACTGTGTGTTCAGTTTGGCCTCTGTGTCCCTGAGACTCTAGACATGGGATGGGAAACTAGGAGTAGACCCATGATAAACCAGCAGGTCCCCTGAATATAGTTTACATACACAGAAATTATTTTAAAATGTTCAATTCTCTTGAAAGAAAACTTTGTTAGGCTGAGGATTTTGTCCCACTTCCCCATCTGTGTGAGTCACTGTGAGAAGCACTGCTGTGCCAGATTGCACAGTAATAGTCGGCCTCGTCCTCAGGCTGCAGCCCAGAGATGGTCAGGAGCCCTGCATTGGCCGAGGCATCTTTGGATCCAGAGAAGCGGCTGGGGACCCCGGAGCCCTGGTGCTTGCTTGAGTCTGAGTGATACCACAGAAGATACCTGGGAGGGCTCCCTGGCTTCTGCTGGTACCAAGATATCGTATAGCTGCCAACATTGAAGCCACTGCTGAGGGTGCAGGTGAGTCTGGCTGTGGCTTCTAGAGATGCAGAGAGGGAGGGCGGCTGAGTCAGCACAAGCTGGGAGAGGGAACCTGCAGAAACACAGACACTTATCAGTGATGAGACAGACACCAGGGGGAACTTTATCAAGATTCTGAGCAAGAGGGGTGTAATATTGGGGGATTCCCAGCTATCCCAGGCCCATCCCTACCTGTGCAGTGAGAGAGGAGCACGAGGAGGAGAGGAGTCCAGGCCATGGTGCACACAGCCCCTGAGCCCACAGTGGTGCTGGGCTGCCCAGGCCTCCTTTTCTCCCCACCCTTTGCCAGGGGAGGGGCCGTCCATGCAAATGTGTGTCCACCCTGGGGCTGCCCAGCCCCTTCTTGAGCCCTGGAGCTGGAGCTCAGCTCATGCCCCAGACAAAGGGAGTTGGAGTTTGGTTTCACCCCTTGAGGGAACCCTTGGGGGAAGCACCTGCTCACACCTCACAAAGGTCCTTGCTGAGGCGACTCTACAAGGTCAGAGTGAGAACAGCTGCTGAGTCCCCAGTCAGAAGCACAAGCCACACCCTGAGGCCCAAGCTCCACTGAGTAAATGCTCCTCAGTGAGCAGCTGTGAGGGGGACTCAGGACAGTCCTACAGCGCGTCCTGCTGGTCACAGGGCACACACCTCCCCATGGCCCAAAGTCCTGGGACCACAGCTGGTTTCCATACATCACCAGGTCGCTCTTTCTACACACACCCGTGTTCTGATTCCTAAAAGCGGACCTCACGTATGATGCAGAGCATCCACTTCTGGAATTTATCTGAAGCAAAGGAAAACACTACATCAAAAAGAAACATGCACTCCCAACACCATGCCGGTACTGTTTATAAGAGTAAGGTCATGGGGACAATGTAAATGTTCATCAGTGGGTGAATATATATGAATATTATTCATCGTAAACACAGATAGACCTTCAGGATGATAAGCCAAGTAAAGCAAGGCTGACAGAGGGTGACAAACACCAGATGATCACAGTTACAGGTGGAATTAAAACAAAGCCAATAACCCAAAACAAAAAATGAAAAAAATCCACAACCAAACTGAACTAAAGCGAGCAACCAACCAACCAAACTAACAAACAAGCGAAAAGCTCACAGACACAGAGAATGGACTGGTGTTTGCCAGAGGCTGGGAGTGGGAGGTGGGAGAAACGGGTGCAGAAGGCCAAAGGGCACGGACTCCCAGCTGGAAAAGGTGAGACCGTGAGCAATGGGGACCTGACCGTTTGTGTCCTTTGGTCCATCCTCCTTCCAAATCCCCTGCAGTGAGTGACTGTCACTAGGTGCCCAGGAAGGGAACCACTGTGTCTAATCCTCCAGTGACAAAGGTTTTTCAAATACCATGGATAGCTTCTTCATGTCTATAACAAGCTCAGAGAAGGAGAAAATCGAACCTATGCATCAAACTGTCTAATGATATTGAATTCACTGTTTCACAATAAGATGGCCTATTCCATGGTGGGCAATTAATTCTTGTTTCTGGAAAATAGCAGTGTATCCTTTATTAACAAAAGTTTATGCAAGTGAATTAGATAAATTATGGGGGTTTATCTGCCTTATAGAAATTCTCAGGGAATTAAAAACATCAATCAAGTTTTAAATATATATTTGAAACACATCTAGTATATTAGAAATGCCCATGATTTACCCTGTGAATTATGGAGACAGTTTCTCTGTCCTATGATTTGAATTCCCAAACCCAGAAAATAGGTGACAACCCATGACAGTCCATTTCGTGGCTCAGGAACACCGCACGTGTAGCTCAGAGAAACAGCAATTTTGGCATATAGACACTAAGTACATAGATTTATTAATAGGTTCAAGTAAAGTATTACTAAACTTATACATCTAAAGAGCACACTGCAAATAACCACCATACTATCAAAATCTGTGAAGAACTTAAAAATGTGGTGCAATAGGCCACCTCATACTCTTGAAACTGCAACCCTGTGGCCGAGCCCACACACTGTCCCATGCGCCAGCACAGCCGACATCCGATGGGCGAGGCCCTTCTGAATCCTCTCTGTTTCCAGGCCAGGCCGTCTCTGCTTTATACATGCACTCTGTTTGTTACTAGGTAACTGAGATATCTAAATAACAAAACATAACTTCAAAGCCCCTCTAGTTTCCAGGCAGGAATGTTACTATGTGACAAATGGCTCCTGGTTTTGAGTAGAATTGGTGGCATGCATGAGAGAAGGACACAGGACTTGAGAATACAGACAGAGACGAGTCACTGCATGCAGGCGTCAGCAAGGGAAATGGAGAATCACCTTCAGGCGTGACCAGGGCGCTGTACCTGCGGGTGTGGGCTCTGCTGAGTTCCCTCCCAAATAGCTCGCCAGAGGGCCCAGGCCAAGAAGTGCTCAGACATGGATTTACTTCTTGAAAAAGCAGGTGCTGTTTCTCTCTCAAATCAGGGGGAAGGAAGAAGGAGGTGTAATAAGCAGCACCAGGGATGGAGGAGGAGGGTATATTTGGAGTCATAGGAATCTTTAAAGTGACACAGATGCTGAAAATACACAAAAATATGTTTACTGATGTTTTCTTTTACTGTAGGTTCGTTAGGTGCTAACACACACCAGTGTCACCGTGACCACTTTGTGTTGAGTTTGGCCTCCATGTCCCTGAGACTCTAGAGGTGGGGAGGAAAACTGAGATTAGACCCATTGTAAACCAGAAGGTACCTGAGAGTATATTTACATACACACAAGTTATGTTCATACACACAAAAATGTCAATTGTCTTCAAAGAAAACTCTGCTAGGTTAAGGTTTTTGTCCCACTTCCCCCTCTGTGTGTGTCACTGTGAGGAGTACCACTGTACCCAGTCATACAGTTATAGTCGGCCTCATTCTCAGGCTGCAGCCCAGAGATGGTCAGGAGCCCTGCATTGGCCGAGGCATCTTTGGATACAGAGAAGTGACTGGGGACCTCGGAAGCCTGGTGCTTCTCTGAGTCTGATTTATACCACAGGAGGTACCGGGGAAGGCTCCCTGGGTTCTGCTGCTACCAGTGTATGTAGCTGCCACCAACACTGAAGCCACTGCTGAGGGTGCAGGTGAGTCTGGCTGTGGTTCCCAGAGATGCAGAGAGGGAGGGCGGGTGAGTCAGCACAGCCTGAAAGAGGGAACCTGCAGACACAGACATTCACAGGTGCTGGGGCAGGAAAAATATTTAAGCTGCATGAGGGTCTAAGCCTAAAGGGCTGACAGAGGATTGGTGGGTGACCTTGGGCATCTGAATACTCGCTGTACCTGTTCAGTGGCAGAGAAGCACGAACAGGAGAGGGGTCCAGGCCATGGTGCAGGAAGCCTCCTGTGGCCCCATATGAGGTCTGAGGGGGGCCGGGCCTCTTTTATCTCCCCCATTGGCTGGGAAAAGGAGGAGCTGTTCACTCTTATTTGTTTCCCCCAATGATGATGAACCTTTTCCACCCTGAGAACCAGCCAAGTGAGAGCCTAGCTGATTGGACAGAGGAGCTGGTGGGTGAGACTGGGTTTGCCCCCTGGGAGGGTCCAGGACAGGAGCAGGTGCAGGGACCTTACACAGACCAGTGAGCAGCAGGCTCTGCCCAGCCCAGTCACAGGGTCCCCATCAGTAACCACAGGCCCCAGGGCCCCCGCCTTGGGCAGTCTGGGAGTTCACTCAGTGGGAGGCACCCACTCTCTGACCTGGGGTCCCCACAGCACCCCTGCTGCTCACTGCTCAGAATTAACCTTGGATGGAAATGATGTTGGAGAAACTGCCCTGAGAGTGGTCACTGTCCGTTCACAAATACTCCCGGGGACACCACTTCTATACTGCCAGTCTCTGATATCAATAAACAACATTTTCCACTGTTGGGATCTGGTTTAGGAGGAGAAAGAGACATGGAAATCAGGGCGACTGTAAAGTGTGGGCGAAGCTGTGGGAGGGGAGAGTTCAGACACAGGTGCGGAGGGGCCTCCCTCCCTCTCCTTCAAGGCTGGTGCAGGGAGACCCGGGAGGTCCCTGCTTCCTCAGGGTTCTGCGAGGAGATGGATGTTGGAGGGATGATGAGGGGCAGGGAGCAGAGGCATCATGAGAGCTGAGGGACATGGGCGTGGCACAGACTCATGGCTTTAGGTGAAGATGTAGAGAAATCCCCACAGTGCAATATACCAGGGAAGACAGAGATGAATCACCCACCCCAGGAAAAGTGGACGGTCACACCACCGTCTCACAATTCAGAAATGCAGACACTCCCCAGGCAAGAGTTCAGGACCCAAGAAGATGTGTTGTGGTTGGCCAGGTCACTGAGCTGGCTGGCTGGCTGAGTCTCTGAGAAAAGAAGGCGGGGCAGAGCCATGTGTCAGAGGGGAGAGAAGGGGAGAGAGGCTGAGAGGGTGGGCAGAGGGGGAACCAAGTCCCCTTTAGGAAATACCAGATGGCAAGTCTAAGTTCACATATGAAATCTCGACGTCCTCCTTGGATATTTTCTGTAAGTGGAATCATGTTAATGTGTAGATTTTGGTCACTGGAGAAGAGAAATGCAAAGCTGTTAGTTTTATTACCCTTTCAAACAGGAATTATTTTATCTCCAACACACATACAATTTGCATCATTGGCCACATATTGGTACAATAAATATACTATGTTTTCAAAATATATTTAGCAATTGTTCACATTCCTAGTGGTCCTGTGAGTAAAATATGAGTTACACGTAACTTTAAAAACATGTTCATGCTCCATTTGTATGAGATTCATGGGAGAAACTTTCTCAAGATTATTTTTTTGACATGCTGAGGTAGTCACTGAGATAGTGAAGTGGATTTTCATACATAATCTGTTTACACTGTGGTGACTGAGTTCTGAGTAACAACTCAGTAAATTCCTTTTTCTAGATCCTTGAGTATTTGCCAAAAACACTAAAATTCTTCTTTGCTGAACCTGTATTTCCCCAGAAATACACACAGCACACACACTGTTTTTCTGACAACAGGCTGGAGATAATTCTCATTGGCTGACTGGTGAAAGAAGATGAGAACATGAGGGAGAGTCTTGAACTTGGGACGACGACTGACCTGAGGCCCAAGGACAGAACATGACATGACAGATACAGATGGATGATTCCAGAGTACAGGGACATAGAGAGCCAAGATGGGGGAAACCGGAAGTGTCCAACTATGGCTCTCACAGTGGCTTTCAGTCCTGGAGGGCAGAGTCACAGTGGAATCAGAGTCAGGCCGAGT